CGCCCCACCCCACCGAGGCCTCTCCCGGCCTGCGCCTTCCCCAGGCTCCACCAGCCACGAACCCCGGAGCTTCGGGAGCCAGCCAGGGGCGGGAAAACTGCCCCCAAGGAGACAAGACTGCGAAACGGCGGTCTTGGGGGGTTCGGACAAGACCTGAGGGGCGGAGGGACATGGGCTGCACGAGCTCTCCTATCCAGTCACCGCGGCGACAGGGGAAGTTCCACATCCTGTAGCTCACAAAGGGAGCAGTAACCAGACCGCCAACTGGGGCATTTCTGGGCCGGCCACCCCTGGAGGCTCTGGAGTGGCCGCAAGGCCTTGTCCCCGGCTGGGTGCCTTCCGAGGCCCGGTCAGAGGAGGCACTGCCTCGCGTACCCACTTCACAGAGTTCATTTCCTCCCGGATCGCTCAATCCTACGCTCCCTTCACCTCAAGCTGTATTTTGTTTTCAGAAGGTAGGGAAGAAAGCAGAGAATTTTAAACTGAATGCCCAGATGACTGCCTCACTTCACAGGTTAGGAAAACACTCCCGACCCAGAAAATCGACTCTCCGGAAAGCAACACTTTCCGGAGGGAAGAGGGAGGGCTCAGGTCTGCAAGCTGGGTCCCTCTGTACCGGTGGTCTTTGTTTTCCAGCCTGGGCCAGGAGCCCAGCATCACCTACAGAGGGAAGAGCCGGCTCTGGCTAGACAGCTCGTTCAGAAGACTTAGCAAGATCCTTCCTCCATCCCCTGCCTACGCACCCTCAAAGCCCACAAGCCTACGTGTGCTCTTCTTCTGGAGGGCGGGGTGGGGAGTCCCTTGCATAAGAAAGCTTGACACTGAATTTTGTTATATAGGTATATTGTATATATGCGGATGCAATCAGAGGGGGAAAACAGTGCAAATACAATTACAATTCATAATACTTGGTTTCGATGCCCCCGGGAACTGCCCCATTCCTCACTACCTCCCCCAGTGTCAACCTAATGCTGGGGGCGGGGGCAGGTCGGCGTAGGGAGTGGGCTCTGCCAAGGCAGTGCTGGTGACCTGGAGGGACTGTCCAGGGTGGGGAGGCAAGGCACAAATCGG